GGTAGGAAGGAGCAGTTGGCTGGGCGGAATATCAACACGATCCCTGCACGTGGAGAAGACTTAAACGAGCTCGTGTAAGCCGCGTCAGCTCCAACACGAGGCCATTTGATTGTCAACGTACACAAAGAGTTAAAGCGGGAGCAACGCGCAAGAACTTCAACATGAAATAAGACTAACTGCCTTGATATGACTCGAAAAGTTCACGATACAGCGGAAACTAGGGGATGCAAGACATGAAATTCCCAAGGTATGGCTGCCCCATCTATGGTTGAAGGAAGGGAGAGACTATCGCACTAACTACCATAACTCTCCGCAGGAATTGAAACTCATGTCTCTCTTCGAAACGGTGACAATCAGCACCTGTCAAGAACTTGTGCATCTTGCCAAGAGACATTCCCTTTGACACTCATCGCCGCAGATCAACATCAACTCAACCATGTTTTAAGCCAGAAGCCCACCAGAATCTGTCTCCGCCGCCGCTCCAGTCACGTTGCTGTCCTTCATCAACCACAGATACGCCTCCGCGACAGCCTCCCCCTTTGCAGGTACACCCGTGAGTGTCGACTTAGCGACAACTTGAGCTGTCGAAGCCTTTTGTTCTTCTGTCCAAAGTTCTGTCTCGACATAGCCAGGTCGAACAACGTTGGCCCTGATTGGCGCAAGGTCAACAGCCAATGCCTTGGCCAGGGTGGAGAGCCCACCGCCGTAATAACTCATCAGGGCCCACCCTTTGGCGGGCTTCTTTGTGACAGAGCCACTGGTGATGGTAATGCTCGAGGTGTTTTCCTTCGGCAGATATCGAGATGCGACTTTACCAAGGATGATGGGAAGGACGAGGCGCATGTGAGAAGTCGAAAGGATGGCATCCACGGCCATGGTCTCAACCGGTGCTATGACGAGGGCGGAAGCCGCGGTGAGGACGACATGATGAATGGTTCCATGGGTGGACTCGGCTTTTTTGAACAAGGCATCGAGGTCAGCTTCCACTGTGACTGGGTTGGAGAGGTCGACGGGAAAACCGGCGATAGTATCTGGTCGAGAAGGATAATCCGCTTTCAGGCGAGTGACAGCGGCATCAACCTTGGTGTGAGAAGAAGAGGAAATAGTGACCTTGGCTCCGGAAGCAAGGGAGCCATCTGCAACGGCATAGCCTATGCCTGAACTTCCTCCAAGGATGAGGACATGCTTGTTCTGGAGCTTTTGGTACGCAGAAGGGGCCATTATGGAGAGTAGAAAGAGGGACTTGAGGGTGAAGTGAAGGAGTCGAGATGGGATGCTGTTGAACTGTGAGCTTCGTTTCGACCATTTTATAGCTCTCCACAGATCTGCTCGATAAGCCATGATGATGCCATCGTCAATTTAACAGGTAACTCATTTGTAAGCATGAGCAGTTGCGCTGACTGGAGAGCTGCTGATGTCCGAGATCATGTTACCAAAGCATACTTGACTTCATTAGCCCTCTATCGTCCCGGTTTTAAAGTACTCGGCAAAGCTCCTGGAAGAAGTCAACATGGCAACCAAACCGAAACCCAAACCAAACATGACTATCCTTCAAGAACAGCCTTGTATTTGTTTGTCAGCCCACGTGAGCTTAATTAGGCGACGCACATATCAAGACGGGTATCAAGAGTCTTAAATCCGGTAGGACAATTCAGAACAAGCAAATCAGACAACTACATACCCGACGTTGTGTTGGCCTTCCGGGGTATGTATAGAACGTTGACGAAAGATGCAGTGCTTCGGGGGGCCACCGAAACCGGTCTGCCGAAAGCCCCGCTTTTGATGCCCCCACACCTCCGCCCGCGGGTGCCAAGCCAAATCCCGGTGAAGCTTAACGGACGTCAACCCGGCCCCGCTGAGCTCCTTCCACTCGACGGTTTTTTTCGCAAATATTTTCAAGGATTGCCGCCCACCATCGATCAACAACTTACTGTGGCTTGCTCGCCAAGAATCGCCGTACATATTCTTGCGGGGAATAACAGACCCCGCCCAAATTCTTCGTTTTTTTCTCTCTTGCTTCACCCCCAGAGGAGCTGTCGAGACTTCAACTTGACTTCAACTCTGGCCAAGAATCAGAACAACTCGCGACGGGAATCTGACTGTCTGTTGTTTTGCTACTTGCCACTCAACCTCCCACCGAATACCACATGTGCTTTTCCCGATCCAAAGCGCCCCTCGACTTTCTCAGCTTCTCGACGCACCTGTTGATGCGTCGAGCCAAACATCAGTAACTTCACGGCAGGCGACTTTGAGTCTTTGCGCTTGCTCGAGGGGACGTAAGAAAGACTTATTCAGAGACGAAATACTCTCTCTGCGTAATCTAAAATTTAACTACACATATCAGACAGCCTAACCTTCAAGTGAAAGAGTACTACTACTTGTTAGAGCACTTGAAACCGAGACAAGATCATCATGTCTGAGAACAACAACAACAACAACGACACCGTTCACACGGCCACCGAGCCTGTCATAGCCAAGGCATACGGCACCGATGACTACGGGACAACCGCCCATGCCACCACCACCAGGATCAGCGCCGATGGCAATGCAACCGACACCGACTCTGAGTCCGCGGCAGTCGCCGCAGGCCTCAAACACCTCGAGAACCAGGACGTCAAGTGGTACTCTTACCTCTTGACCGTCGACTTCTGGGCCATCATTGCCCTCGGTCAGATTCTCGCGCTGTGCATTACCGGCTCCAACACATTTACCTCCTTCCTGAGCTCCGTCAACACCATCATCCCCGCGTTCCAGACCCTCTTCAACTATGCGCTGCTTACCATGGTATACCTTCCATACACCATCTACAAGCACGGCTGGGCCAAGTACCGTTCCATCCTCTGGCGCGACGGCTGGAAATATTTCATCTTGTCATTCTTCGACGTCCAGGGAAATTACTTCACCGTCCTGGCCTACGAGTACACCAACATCTTGTCTGCCCAGCTGCTCAACTTCTGGGCCATCGTCTGCGTCGTCATCCTGTCCTTCTTCTTGCTCAAAGTTAGGTACAGACTCGTCCAGATCGCCGGTATCCTCATCTGCTGCGGCGGCATGGGTGTCCTCCTCGCCAGCGATCACATCAACGGCACCAACGGCGGCAACGGCAAGGACATGATCAAGGGCGATCTCTTTGGCTTGCTGGGTGCAACGCTTTATGGCATCACGAATGTCTATGAGGAGTGGTTCGTCTCCAAGAGGCCAATGTACGAGGTGCTCTCGTTTCTGGGCATCTTCGGGGTGATCATCAACGGGGTGCAGGCGTCCATCTTTGATAGAAAGGGCTTTGCGGGCGCGACTTGGAACGGGGATGTGGCGGGGTGGCTGGTGGGTTATACGTTTTGCTTGTTCATCTTTTACTCGCTCGTTCCGCTCATCCTGCGAATGGGGAGCGCGGCGATTTTTGATGTCAACTTGCTGACGGCCAACTTTTGGGGTGTGATTATCGGGACGAGGGTTTTTGGGTACACCATTCACTGGATGTACCCGATTGCGTTTGTGCTGATCATTTCCGGGATGGTGGTGTATTTTCTGGCGGGGACGATTTTGGGCGATTCGAAGAAGCCGTGGTTGGGGGATAACCAGAAGGATGGCGTGGCCGGGCTTGGGACGGCGAAGTTGAAGGCGTTGAATGAGGCGAGGAGGAAGGGGTTGGCGAGGGAGGAGGCTGCTGGGGAGGCTTAGGGGGGTTCTGGGCTTTCGCTCGGGATTGCTGACAGATGGTGAGGGAGAGAGGGGGTTCAGGGGATTGTGCAAACATGCCGAGGGGTAATGTTGCACATGTTGCCAGCGCATCTTGGTGTTGCTGATGTATATTCTCTTCGTTGGGTTCCTCGTGGAACTTTTGTCTTTGTAATCAGGGGTTCATCGTCACAGAAAAGGGGCTGTCAAAGGGTGTAAGTGCCAGGGTTAGGGTCAAAATCAGGTTGTAACGGCAGCAAAGCCGCCACCAACAGCCATTGCACACCTTAATAAACCCCGCTTATTCTTTCACCTTGACCTGTTACTCACTTGCAGATCTCATCAAAGAAAACGTGCTGGAAATTCAAATTCAACGTGACTGACTCACTGCTGACTCTCCAACACTCACTTAAAACTTATATATTTATCCAGCAATAACTCACTGACTTGTAGCCATTCCTTCCACAATCACACTTTAAACTACAACATCAGTACCTCTCACAACAAACACCCTTCACCATGGGGGGCACCCCTCAAAAGCTCTACTTCGGCTACGGCTCCAACCTCTGGCTCGACCAAATGTCCCACCGCTGCCCCTCCTCCCCTCACCTCGGCCTGGGACGCCTCAAAGGGCACAAGTGGTTCATCAACTCCCGCGGCTACGCCAACATCGCCCGCTCCCCCTCCCCCTCCCCCTCCCGCTCCGAAGCCGAGGAAGTCTGGGGTCTCGTCTACCAGCTCACGCCCGAAGACGAAGCAACGCTGGACATCAACGAGGGCGTCCCCTACGCCTACGAGAAGAGGGAGATAACTGTGGAGTTCTGGGAAAAGGGTACAGGTGTCGTCGGTGGCGATGGGGACAAGGACAAGAAAAGGGGAGAGGAGAGGGAGATGCTGGTGTACATCGACTTTGAGCGGGACAAGGGGGGGTTCAAGCCCAGGGAGGAATACATCGTCCGCATGAACAGGGGGATCGACGATGCGCTGAAGGAGGGGGTGCCGAAAAGGTATGTGGATGAGGTGCTGAGGGGGTATATCCCCGCCGAGGAGCAGAGCATGGAGGTCCAGAAGCTTGCGGAAAAGCAGGCGGGTGGGTTCAGGGATGAGAGCGGGGTTGTGCCGACGAGGGTGACGGCTGAGGCGGTGGGTTCGGGGGTTGACTTGCTGAAAGTTGGTGGTGGTGGTGGTGGTGGTGGTGTGAAGGGGATTCGGGGGGTTTTGGACGGGAGGGAATAGTGGTTGACCTAACGGCTGGTGCAAAAACAAGAAACAAGAGTAGGAGATGTAAAAAGAGAGAATTGGGGTGCAAAAACATATCGTTTTGCCCACTATCAGAATCGAACTGATGACCTTGTCATTGACCTAGGTGTGTTGAAGGGATTTACTAGTGACACGCTCTACCACTGAGCCAAGCGGGCTGGGTTTGGATGCTGAGTGTTTGTGGGGGGTGTGGGTGAGGGTTATGAGAGGGCTAGATCAAGTATGCGGACAAACTGGGGACTCCGAAACTCAAAAGTAGGTATGTCTTTTGTGCTTCATAATGGTAAATGAGGCGTTGGTGGCGTTCATTTATCTGAGCATTGTTCTTAATACAGTGCTTTCTCATGCAAGTTAGTATGATTGAAAGCATAGTTGTTGTGATATATTAAACATTACAACGAACTACCAGACATCAACACAGAGAATCACTATGTAGGATAATTGTAGAGTTTAACTAAAAAGATCTGGTCTGAGTACTGTGACAAGCCTCAAAAGATAATAGAAATGCTCTTGACCATCATTAAAGTCCTATCCGCTATCTTTTGACGTCTCTTAACTATCTTTGAAAGCCTTATGAGTTATTTTTAGAATATGGTTAGAAGTAAAAGTAGTCGTGGTATACATACCCATCAAGCATCACAGCTACAACCAAGAGATATATGCTTTAAGTCGAATTCCATGTAATTTGAACGAGACAACCATTTATGGCTTCGCTAAGGTATGAATAACACTGCCTAGAAACTTTGCCCCATTTAATCTTTATCCTCTACAAACGTCCCCAGCCAGATATCCATCGTGCAGATATGAGGAACAAGATCCTCACCCTATCGGGATATCTTCCGTCTATCGTCAGCCACAAGCTCTGCAAGAGTTGCATTCTTCAGAGCTCGCAACGCCTCCTCCTTTTTGCTACTGGTACCTCCTTCCCCCAACTCATCGAGCTCTTTTTGAAAAGCGTCTCCCAGGGCCCATGTGGTCTCGCAATCCCCATCGATCAACTCTTCATCAGGTATCACATCAGCCTCCTTTTCCAATTTCCACCCTGCCGCATTCAAAGTCTTCTTTATCTTGTCAGGCGTGACCATGCACGTCAAGTGGCCCTGGGTGTCAAGTCCTTTCTTCTGCCTCATCTCTCCGACTGCACCTCTGAGCATCGTGGCGAACAAATGCGCCATTGCATATTTGAGGGTAGGGCGTAGCGCATACTCGACAATCAAAACTCTCTTCACTTTCCCCTTCAACTTGACGAGTGTGGCCTTGAGGACGTCCAGCGATTCGAAGTAGAAAACAGAATGCCACAGCACCGCCAAATCCCATTTCTTGTCCTTGTTGGCATCGTCGTCGAGGAACTGGATCGCGTCCGTATTGTGGAACGTAACCGAGGTGGGATTTCGAGTAGAGACGCAATGCTGGTGGTCACCCAAATTGTAGGGAAGGGGGTAAAACTTCTCCCGGCTTTGCACATAGTGCTCCAGTGGGCACACATATGTTTGAGGGGCAGGATCGAGAGCGTCAACGTGCCCAGCGCGGGGTTTGACTTCGTATGCCAGAACATCCGTGGTGGTTCCCATCCCGCAGCCGATTTCCAAGATTCGGGTTGGGTGCTCGGGTAGATAGTGGAGGATGTCATAGACGTGCTTGGTCTGGGTGGAATGCATGTACCATGAGAGGTAGGGGTTTTGATTGCGAACCCGAAAGGCAACAGTGGATAAACGAGGCATCTTGCAATGGTGCAACTGAGCGAGTAGATAAGCTGAAAGGATAATGGGAATGATTCTGTTGCCGGGGATGATGATGTTGTTTGATGGCTTGTTGGATATTTGGGAAGAGAAGTTGGAAGAGAGCAGGAATAAGACCTGCCCGGTCTAGTGCCGAGTGAGCAGATGAACCAAGGAGCTCTTGCTGGAAGTACCCAATGGCTTGCTCCTTCGCCTTTTTGTCATAGTACATCGTTCTGTTCTTTCCTTTGTGTATTCGCTTCTTTGGTGAGCTGGCAAGAACCGATGGTTGATACATTGCATCAGGGCAGGAAGGAAGGACAATAAAATGGTCCAGGATTTGACACTTATAGAACAACCCCAAATGGATTACCACACTACGGATGAAAGATAAAAATTGTTGCTAGGAATGAAAGTCACAGAGAATAGGAAAACCAACTTTAGAGTATCTACTATGTATTAAATAAAATTCAAAACCCTTTGAAATCGCCCAGAGACCTTTGAAAATAACCGAGGAGGGGTTAAAGATAATCAAGGGTGTTTCTATCATCTTGTAAAACCTTGATTTTGTGTTGCGGTCTCTAATTCTTACCTACGGCGTGCTTATCTAACCCTACCCACATCCCACACAGGTTCATTGAATCCCGCTGTTATGCTCGTTCGAATTCCTGCATGTTTATTCCCTTATTTATTCCCACTTCATAGGTAATCTTCAATATCTGCACGTCATATTTTTCGTTACCCAGTTCACCTGCAAAACACTGCGAGGGCTACTCAAACTTCCAGAGCATTCGAAGCTGTCACACCTTGTCAATGCAAGGGCGTGCTCGATTGCCTGGCTAACTTTCTTATCTCACTGTCACCCTCGGTCCTTGTGCACTTCACTTCCAGTGAATAAAAGCCGGTTTACAGCCATCTCAAACATCAGATCAGAATCACATCTCAACTTACCTGTCACCCCCTTCCAATACCGCGCATTCAGCGTATCAACCCACAAAATGGTCAGTCCCCCTCAACCTCCCCTCCTCACAACTCACTAGACTAACTCCCCTTTCCAGACCGCCCCGCCTCCAACTCACCTTCTCTTCCACCACGACTCCTCCCTCACCACCCACCCAACAACTCTCCTCACCATAACCCCCTTTTCCTCCCTACCACCCCCGGACCAATCCCTCTTCAAATCCCCCCCAGCCAACGCCTTCGTCCTCACCTTCCCCTCCACAATCTTCCACCCCCAAGGCGGCGGCCAACCCTCAGACGAAGGCCACATAACCCTCACCTCCTCCTCCTCCCCCTCGACAACCTTTTCGGTAACATCTGTCCGTCACTCAGCCACCAACCCCTCCCAGGTCCTTCACCTAGGCTTCTTTCCCCTTGCCACCATCCCAAACAACCCCCCCACCACGGACTTGCCCCCATCATCATCTTCTAAACCCTCGTTCGCCCCAGGAGACGAAGTCACCCAGACCATCAACCTCAACCTGAGGAACTACCACTCCCGCCTGCACACAGCAGGCCACGTCCTCGGCTCCGCCGTCCGCCACCTCCTCGAGTCCCAAATCCCCGGTTTTGACGAGCTCAAGGCGTCCCACTTCCCCGACTCGGCAGCGTGTGAGTTTAGGGGGCTGATAGAAGGGAGGTGGAAGGGGCCGATTCAGGACAAGGTTGACGAGTTCCTTGCGGCGAAGATGCCTGTCGAGATTGACTGGTGGGACGAGGAGGATTTTAGGCGGGAAGGGCTGGAGAGGCTGGTTCCCAGGGGGGAGAACGGGGAGGTGGTCAGGCCTGAGACGGATGGGGGGAAGTGGAGGGTGGTGAGGATTGTGGGCGCCGAGGTGTACCCCTGTGGGGGTACGCATGTGGAGAGGACGGATCTGTGCGGGGAGGTGAATGTGAGGAAGGTTGGGAGGAGCAAGGGGTGTTCGAGGGTTAGTTATGGGGTTGTGCCTGGGTTGGAGGGGTGATGGAGTTAATACGGTGGTGTTTTTTTTTTTTTTTGGTTAAATCGTTTTTATTGGTGAGAAGAGTTGTGCTGTGTCGTTCAGGATTCATACTGTGAGTGTTTTTGGTGTTTAGTGGTTCTACATAGAAGAAAACAAACCCCGGTGCGGAAGAACGGGACCGGGAGGCGGCCCGGTCCGTGGTACGGAGTACGGAGTATGTGCCGGGGGTTTTCGGTGGGATCCTTGCCCGGCCGGCAAGACCCCCGGACTTGATTCACCTGGCTGACTAGAAGATTTGCCCTTTGACGTTCAAATTTAGACTCTAGAGATTCAGCCCTTGACACGAGCCATTTGTGTCACCTTGGCCCCCAAATTGGCCAACCCCCCACCAGGCGAACATGAGAGGTTTGGTGGCCAATTGCGGCTGCTGCAGGGGCAACTGTGCCGCAGATTAGTGATGTGCACCTAAAAGTCGGCCCTGCAGGGGGGCAAACCAATCAGACCCAGGCAGTGATGACCAAAAACGACAAAGTTGCCTAAACGAGCATACCAGAACTGGCTCTCCTCCCACCTAACATCGCCAATGTCAGCACCAAAAACTCACGCATTTCTTGGGTATGCGTTACAGATTTTGAAGTGGAGGAAAAACAAGGACAAGGGGAACTCATGATGACAGAGCTCACAGATATCCCATGCAGCTTAGGGGCCCCGGCATGGGTCCTCGATCTAAGCACTTCGGGAGGGGGAATGGCCCGTCTCTCCCAAGGCCAGTCTCACCATGTTCATCATCTCACGTCTTTGCTGATTTTCTCTTCTTTTCCCTTGCCTCTCGCCCTCGTCGTCGCGCCTGCCGCCTGTCTCTCGTTTGTTCCCAGTCTTCTTCGGCGACCATCAGGTTGCGTCTGACAGAAACACTCGGAGGAGTAAAGATCTCCGTTTTTCTTTCCTAATTTTTGAAATCCTCTTCTTACAACGAGGTTTGGGGGTACCGGGCAAGCGGAGCAACGGATTCGGCATCGAGCTCGAGTCCGAGAAAAGCATCACAAGCCAACAGCAGGCCTTTCGAACTGTTTATACCCTCCTTCAAAATGGCTTCATTGCTATCAACACTGCTCCTGCTTGGGGCTGCTATCTCACCGGCAGAGGCACGCGTGGCCGCTTGGTGGAATGGTGTTGGGCCTCAAGTTATTGTCCAGAACGAGACAACCGGCCTCATCCGATACAGCAGGTGCAACCTGTTTGACAATCCGAAATACTCGTACACCGATGGCAGCGTGCTCTCCCTCACCTACAAACCCAAGAATGATACGCCTCTGGCTGGCTCGGGGTATTGGTCGAACGAGTTTACGGCGTGAGTTATTACTTGTTGCTATTGGTGTGGCTTTGATGCTAACAGCAGGATTGCAGTGCCTCGATCTACTACTTGACCGAGAGATATGAGATTGCCAATGGTCTGTTCCACTGCAACATGACCACCGGTCTCTTTGAAAGCAAGGG